ATCGTTTTCCATAAAACAGTTTTTAATACAGTTAGAAAAGCCAGACGTTAAACCTAATGATTTAAATCTTGTATTTATAACAATTTGTGTTTTTATTATTTAAGTTGGCTTTTCTTTTTTGACGTGTGTATAGTCTTAGGTTAGGTTAGGATGGAGTAGCTTTGTATACCAAGAGACCCCACTTGAGCTCAAAATAACAGCCCGTTGTGGTACCACAGAAATAGCGTAGGTGCGTACATAGACAAGGTGTTTAGCATACGTCCGAAAAAGGCAGCGACTCACCCATTTAGGTGCCTTTAATGAGAATAACATATGTCCAATTTTCACACTTATCAAAATTTTGGCATTGTTGACCTATTAAATTTTATTTCATAAGCAATAAAATGTGTTTGCCCAAGCATTACTTAATAGAAGACAACTTATAGATAATAGTTTCAATAACTGATTCACCTCATTATTTAAGAAAACTTATGAGTATTAATATACACTTATCAGAAGTAAGTAAGTTTTTAAAACCAAAGATTAAGATTTAAGTCATTTTTATTTATTCTTAATTATTTTGTCAGATAGTTCCTCCCTTATATAAAAAACCTGCAGAAAATATGTGGTTCGTTGTACGCTAAATTATATATTTTGTTCAATTGTTTATTCAAAGATTTGCATAAAAAATGTATCTAAAAAAACTCTAAACAAGATTATAAAAGTTTTTAAATATTTAATTGTGTGACTTTTTATTAGCAACAATTTTTTGTTGTACAATATATAAACTTTTGTCTTGAAATTTAAGTGAGGAAATAAATTTACGATGCCGGTGTGCAAAAGTAGTTAATCTAAGCTACCATATAAACCAAGACAAAAACAAATAATTTTTATATAACTCACAAAAAATTGTTTTAATAACCTAAAAAGTCTGTTGATATACTCGTTTCTAAACAATAACAAATGTAAATTATATATAGAACTTGTGGCTGTTCTCTTCCTGTACAAAAATTACTTCCTACATATGTGTGGGATAGTAAATGTAAGTCACAAATTACAATGAAAGATGAAACAAGTCGGTGAATAAAATAAAAATATATATATAAAATATATAAAATATATATAAAATATATAAAATATATACATTAAATATTTTAAAAATTTGAAATATTATAATGAATTATTTTATTGGTTTGTAATTATTAATCGAAATAGGTTCAGTCCAAAATCGAGTACGAAAATGTAGGTAATACTTTATTCTTAAAACCTATTTATAAATCAAGGGCATAAGTAAAATCATAAAACCATCATAAATGGGATATAAATCGGCTTCAAATGATACTAAAAATTATTACTATTGTATTATTGCTTAATTAGTCATAAACAATAAAAATAACAGTTAAGAAATCACAACTGAAACTCAACAGATAATATTCTGAGACCATCTCAAAGTCTGATGTCACATAATTGCAGTTTATTTATCTTATTCTACAAACATCGTGCAAACACTTGGCACCATTATTTAATATACAATTTGATAGCATCAATAGCTCTGATTTTCTCATATCAAAGGTATTAAAATTGTCATATAAAGATACATATTTTGAGAGGTATAAATCATTAATAAATTAATGTATACAATTAGTTTCAATGAAGTTAATATTTTGTATAATCTTTTTCTACCATTCACAATAAATTATGCCTTTGCTATGAATAAAGTAGTGTAAATGATTAAAATTGAAGCATACATTTAGGTGCTGTTAAAAGTTGAATAAATCGTATACTTTAGAGCTTATTAAGTTTAAACATATTTTTATTAATCCTAGAATTATTAAATAAAAAATCAAAAAATTAATATAACTTTTCGAAATTAATTTATTGATTAATAACTAAATAAGTGTTTGCATATATATTTATTTGTGTTCAAAATTAAGCATTATTTATAAAATAAATCTGTGATAAACAACCTAAAATCAAGGGAGAGTTATCTTTAGTTAAAATTTTTAAGTCATAAGCGATTTTTATATGTTTATTTATTAATAATGATATTAAATATTGAATATTATTAAATAATATTAAATTATGTAAAAGATTGAATAGCTGTAAAGAAAATCAGCTAAGATTTGTCGGTATGTTCAAGAGCTAAGTGTATAATTGCTAAGCGCACTTTCCTGAGTTCATCCCATCTAGAGTTTTTCTTGAACATATATTGTACTATACTGATTTTACAACTAACTAAATATTACTAGTTTACTATATATGCTTTATTGGTGTCTTGAAATATTACACATAATACATATATAATTACTATAAGATTTTTTTCTATCTTGCTTAATCAATCTTTAAGTATCTGCGAAACTAAATCTTATCAGTTATTTTATGCACGTACTTTAATTTATAAAACTAACAAAAAATAAACTTATTTATTGTTTATTTATAAATTTATCACATTGTTTTTACTTTGCAATATATGGAAACGTGCAATAATTTGAAGAAAAATATCTTTAGATTTTTCTAATTTTAATAAAACAGATTTTAAAGTTATTACTGAAATATTAATTAACAAATTAATAAAATAAAAATAAAGAGTTTCTTCGAGCAGTAGTGAATTACAACAACATAAATTTATTTTATATTCTTTTAATTAATTGAATTTTTGACTGACCATACAGCTGTTTCGAGTATTGCCAAATATCCATCATCAGTGGTCCTGGAAATAGTTCTTGTATTTAATTATTCGTAAATAATTTTCTGAGACTGTAAGAACCAGAAATCGAACTCGTGTCTTGCCAAATTTGAAGCTCAAAGTCTGCACACCTTAACCAACTGATCCAAAGCCGTACTTGACTTTTTATGTTCGCATATTTTTCTGCAGTTTTTGTTAATTTGCTGTGAAAGTTTTATTAACAAATTCACTTGCTGTGTTTATATTAGAACGAAATCAAATACCAGTTGTAGAATAATTAAATTAATCATATTTTTATTTTTTTTTTAATATTTTTTATTTATTTATTTTTATTTTTTTTATTTATTTTATTTAAATAAAAATAAATATTTATATAAAATAACACTAAATAAACTTATGATTGACAGTGTAAGATATAGATTAATTAATAAATTAATTAATTAATTAATTAATTAACAATATAAGTAACAATAAAAAATATTAAAAATATTTTAAATAAAAATTTATAAATATAGGTTAAACAGTTTACTTATTCAGAGCCATATGAAAATATTCAAAGAGAAATTATTGATAAACTTCTTATTTATGAATTTTTGAACATTTTCAGAGCTAAAACATGATATCTCTGAAATCACAAAATATTTCCTAATTCATAAACGGAGTTGCGTAAATGAAAATTAAAATGCAATTTCGGTGAAAAAGCATTTGTTTGCTAAATTATACGAAAACCTTATGTGAACTTAATGCCTTTGATAAGAGGTAAGTCATCCCAACATTAATAAAAATTGAAAATTATCTATTATTTAATAATTCGTGATCATTTTCAGTCTTTAGCACATCAACCATTATTCAATTATTTTAAAATTTTTCATTATACTTTAACTATGCTTACTCACTATATACTTTTTTTATAAGACAAGCTGATTTTCTGCATAACATCGAATCATGTACAAAAACTTCATGTACAAATATCATCTCAAGTAAAACTATCAGCATAATTTGGATAAAAGTAGTCGTGACTCATCTAGGATAGCCTCTCTGACTAAAACTGTCTTTCTTTGCCAATTTAAATGTTAATACATGCACAAAAAATTAATACTCGATTGAAAATGTTATAATGTAATAAAAATAATTATTTCAGATATATTTAAAATGATTTGATTTTTAACTCTAGGTTTCTCAATTTTGTGATACCTAATATTGTAACACGAGTATAGCAGTAAATCAGAGTATGTGTCTGGGGTTGAACCTAAGCCCTCATGAACCTAAGTCTCATTTGAAGCGTGGACGCAGGCTTTAGACAACAACACGCCTTACTTGAATTGTGTAACTCAAACTTGGTATAGAGTTATTATAATAGTAGCACTGAACTATAAAGTCTTGTAATAATTCTAGATTCTAGTATATTTTGTAGTACTAATCAGATTGATTCTAAACTTATATATTATAAAATTTTCTTTCTCTACATTCTAATAATAATTTCAGTAAGATTCAATAGGCAAATAGAAAAGAAATACATATGCAGACTTATTGAATTTATTATTTATTATAGCCCTATTATTATTTGAAGTCAAGTAGGTTTCCATACTAACCTAACCTTACATGGCCTAAATATATTATTAAAATTGTTGGATGATCTTTATGTTTGATTTGTAACACCAACAAAAAAAAAGGGAAGAAGCATATATGCAGACTTATTTATATAAGAAAAACGCAGTATAAAATAACGAAATTCAAAATTAAATCTAACATTATTATATCTAATCAAATTACGTATATCTTGTCTTTAAGATATGTTAAGGCACTTAAAAAAATATGTAAAAAATAGCACATATTATCTATGTAGTTTATCTAATGGTACAGTCCTATTTTATTTCCATTTCTTACTTAAGTTGTAACTAAAACCTGAAAAGTGACTGTCTTTCACTTTTAAATTTGGATTTTTATCCCTAAATCTCATAATTCATGTCAAAATGTTTGAATTTCTCAAACATTTTTAAACTCTTTTAAACTTTTGTAACCATCTTTTTTGAATGAAATGAGTGAATTATAAAAGTCTGCAGTTCAACAAGAGTGCTGCATAAATTTAAAATTAATTAATTAATTGGTTTTACGTGTAATATTGGCCAATCATTTAATTGGCTCAACATTGATATCTTCAGTTTTTAGTATAATTTTTCTTCATTGGTTTTTCGATAGTGTTGATATTTTTGTATATTTTTAAAACTTAACAATACAAAACAATAACAAAATAAATAACAAAAAATTCAAAATCTTAAAGACTAAAACAAGAAAGGTTGTAATTAACCGAAAATACTTCAAAACCATATGTTAAGGTCACAAAACCAATGCCTCGAATAGTTTCAATTATCCCGCAAGCGATTGTAATGATTTCGGTGATAATTTTCGATTTTTAGTACCGTAGCGTGGTTTCGATTTGGTTTTACCTTGGTCTCTACCTGAGCCACGCACACCAGTCGCCGCCTCCGCATTTGGTATTACACCGTATTCTTCACGTTTGGGACCACCGAAGACTTTGTAGCTGCAAGATGAAATCAGAAGAAGAGTATGGTGTTATATGCAATTCAATAATGCATTAAAAAAATTCTATTAAATATTAATTATTCAATATTTTACAACTCACCTATATCTGTATCCACCTTGTGTGGGCACATATTCGAAGTCCTCTATTACATTTGGCAAGGTGATTTCTACTAGCTGTACCTGTCGCTGACTTGGTGGATATATCGCTTCAACACTGCACAAAATGCAAGCAGTCAACAAGATTAACTATACGTAAAAATTAAGTAATCTAGATTATTTAATTTTAATTATTAATTACACTATTAATTGTAGTTTTCACTTAACAAATTTTAATAAACAATAAGTAACGCACAATTTTCAACTTCGTCATCGTGAGTTTCTGGTGGAAGTCAGCCTAAACTGCAACTGCTACACTTCACTGTTTGTATCGAAATGAAGGTGTTTGTTTATTGTTTCGACCACTTTACCAATCTTTTTGTTTATAATTTTATTTTTTCCAATGATTTACACAATTGAAAACGCCATGAAAAAATAATCGGTCAAAATTGACGACAAAAAAGTTAAGGTTCCGCTCTCCGGACTGTTGAGCCTCTAATCGCGGCTTAATATGCAATATACCTCACCGCTCTGTCAAATTTGTTTGACCATTTGCTCAAATCGCCGTTTGCACGTTATGTCTTGATTGGATACGAAAAGAGGAGACAATATAAAGTTTGTTGCCTTTAAGTCTTGTGCATTAACGACACATATTTTGAATGAATTTCTGATGAATCAATTGCGATATTAGTCACGCTACATTAGGCAATGCGGAAATGAAATTAATTAACTCATAATACAGTAGTAAAGTAGTCTTAAAACAACACTTAAATAAAGTCTCTTATATACATTAGGTGATAACCTAACATTATTTAAATAACAAATGCAATATATAAGAGAATCCGCAAGTGCGAGGAGGTCCAAGAGAAAGGGTGTTAGATAGGCCTAAGATCTACATCACTTAACAGAAATAGAAATATATTCAAGTGGTGGTGATAAAACCACTTATAATATAAACACGTAAAGGCAGGAAAGTATAATATAGAATGAAATAGAGTAGAAGGTAGTGGAAGGTAGTATAAAGATAACAGATATTAATTTTAAAGAATAAAAAGACTACTATAAGGAGCTAATCATATTACTGTGAAAGCTAATTAAATTAGACAATAGGAATATAATATGTATTTTAAATTTTAAGAATTATGTTCAGAGTTCTGACTTCGTCTTAATACACCTACTACTTTTAAGTACGATTAATAGAAGAAAAGAGCATATCACATTAAAAGCTCTGTTTAATAAACGTCTTATAAACGATCGGCTATTTAGCACGTGAAATGTTATTAGTTCCCAATTTGTGTGTTTCATACAAAGCACAATCTTTTGAACCGACGCTTCTCTAAAACAAATAGAATTGGTGATCTTGTAGGTGGTCCCTTCAGAAAGTTGTTATTATTTCAAAACAATTTAGAATAATTAAGTATTCAGAATAGTATTCAGAATAATTAATTTATATAGCAGTATGTCATAAACTATCTACATAGGTTTAAATTTATAACATTTTATTGCGGTATTACTTATTGTTATGATGTAATTTAAAAAGTTATTATATAAAATAAAGGAAAAATTCTAAGCTATTTTGCTTTTCAACTGAATTAAAAGTACATGAAAAAGAATTGGTTTATCACTCTTAAATTCATTGTTTTTTTCTCTTTTGGGTTTCTCTTAATTTATTTACCATCATTTTTAACTTTTTTACCATATCTCTTTGCAAATAAACATATCTGGGATCCATTGTTGAGGAGTTTAGTTTAAATTTTTAGTCCTATTAGTTTAATAAACCATATCTATTACTGAAAGCCTACTTTTCATTTTTATTTTTTTATTCTTACGGTAATTACATCAAACTATAATAATGAATTTATTCTATCATAAACATGGAGAATATTACACCTGCTTAAGTTCAGAGACACTAGTGATAAAATCATTTGCGCTACTCCAGCAAGACATAGTTAAACGTAATATATATTCTTTCTTAGTGTAAACGTGCTGTCTTCAGAAATCTGTTGTACAATGAGTAAACAAGTATCTGAGCCTGCATTAATATATGGGAGGAATTCTTAAAACAGTACTACTCATTACTATAATTATATAGTGGATAATACGTATATGTTCACTACCTAAAAGTTTACTTAATCCGGATATTTCTAATACACACATACAGTGCTTTATGGTATAGGAAAAATACATGTGATTTCTTTAATGAAAATAATCTGACCTCAAACTTTGAGCAAGACTTTTGTATCAAGAATTAAATAAATAATTAAATAAATAATTAAATATTTTATATATATATGATATATATTTATTTTCATTGCCTACAAACTTTCGTAATTTTTTGATTAAACCAAACTTTTAATTTGTATTTGGATACATAACAGCTAACATTGAAGCGATTAATATTATTCTATATTGACAAATATTTTTAAATATTGTATCTATTTTAAATTTATATTTGCATAAAAACAGTTTTTCCCCCAGAGTTCGAATTGCTGAATTAATTAAATTATATTAACAAAAATTAAAAAACTAAAAGGAATGTCCTATAGAAGTGCAAATTTGTTAAAAAAGCAAACGGAATTAAAAAATCTATTTTTCCCAATTACTAATTAATTAATATAAACATATTTATTTTTAATATATTTACAATTTTTTTCATAGTGATTTGTACCGGCATGTATCACTCACTCATGTATATATCTACAAAACAGCAAATTTTATTAATATCTATATATTTTAGTTATATTAAATTTATATTACTATTAATATAAGCAATATATATATATATATAAAATTTTATATGAAATCATATTAAATGACATATTTGATTAGTTAAAAATCACTTTTTTTAATATAGTTTATTCTTCAATTTCTCTTTCTGTCTTCAGCAGTCATTCTATTAATTTTTAGTTATTATATATTTTCAAAATCTTATACGACAGTAACATCATGGGACTGGCTTATAGGTTGTACCATATTAGAGCACTAATTTTACTGCTGGGTTACTTGTTGAATTGTATGTAAGTAAAAATCAATCAGCATTACTTAAAAAAGTAATGAGTTATATTTCAAAAAATAGCTTTAAGCTTAAATTAACAAATTTAATTTATGCAAGCCTAATTTTATTTATTATAATTATAACAAATAATTAATGAAAAGTAAAAAAGAAAAAATACTTACTATCAACTATTAAAGCAATTAATCCAGATGTGGAATACATTTTTATTTACTCTTTTATAAATAGTTATAGTGTAAATCAGAAATCAAAACATAATGGAAATAGAAATGTTTACCAATAAACAAATTAACGTTCCATCATTCAATAACGGCTTATAGTTTAACCAGCTGTACTCATGCAGTACACAAAACAACATCATTGTTGTAACAAATTATTTGATTTTATTTTTGTAAATTGTTGCTTTACCTTCTGTTATTATATTCATAAAAATCAGCATTAAAGACTATTGAAATTTATTAGTTATGAAGTGAAAAATAAAGAATATGAGAATGTGAAGAAAATCAATAAATAAAAAAAATGTAGTTAAACGATTTCTTAGAGAGGTTTCGAACAGTAGTAAATTGCAGTAACAATTTTTTTATATATTATTAATTAATTGAATTCTTGACTAACCATACAGCTGTTTCGAGCATTGCCAAATACACATCATCAGTGGTCTGGAGTTATTTCTTATATTCAATTATTCGTAAATAGTTTATTTGAGACTGCAAGTGTAAGTTTTGTATTATCATGTATTGTGAATTAATCGAATTCATAACAGCTATCACTTTTATTGATTCCTTTGGGGTTTGATTTATACTAGAAGATCTATACCTCACTTTCATTGTTAGACCCCTTTCTTTTGTAAGTATAAGAACATGAATGTGTGCAAATCTTCCCTCTAACGTTTGAGTTGTTATCAGCGGAGTTACAGAGCTTTTGGGATGATTACATATTTTGTTGAATAGCTTAGACTCTCTAATTGTGAAGCACATGGAGGTCATAGAGTTTCTGATATACTGCGAAATTTTAATTATCTTCCTAAAAGTAATGTTTTGGGATTTTTGAAATTTTTGAAACATGTCTTTAACTGTCTTGCTAAACACAGTTATATGTTCTATGCGCATACTAGTGTTTCGATTTATTTTTTGCTTTTGAAAAGGAAGCCGATTTAAAGTTTGTGTAGAAATAACATTCTCTGTTTTACAGTGGTGTTTCTAAATAAAAAATTTTGTTAAAATTCAAAGCCAGGTATTTTTTCAATTCACTTTTTAGTTTAATCCGTCATATATTAAAATAAAAAAGAGTACTTTGTTTTGTAGAAAACCTCAATAAATTTAAAGTTTCCAAACAACTAAACTAAAAAGTGCTCGCAATCAGCACTAAAGATTGGAAAGACATTTTCACAAAAAGTTTTTGTAAAAAATGTTTTCATCATTTTTTATAGTGCACTTATGAAGTCGTCTCTGCAGTCAATAGTTTGTGCCTGTCTCTTATGAAAAAAAGTTGTTTGATAGAGATGTTTTTCACCAATATAGTTTACCAATATAGTTTTTTTTTTGAAGACTTCTGTTGCCAATGCTCTTCGTTGGTTTCCACAGCCAAATCAAAACATCAGCAAAAACACTGAAATACACAATGTTTAATAAGCGATTTTGTGTGCAACTCACGTTTATCTGATATTAGCATGAAATATCGACTTTTAATGAAATTTCTCTCGATATTTTGAATTCATATTAATGCGAGTATCTTGTTTCTCAGGTGTAAGCTTCAGTGTGTCACTGAACCAGCTAACGCAATTAAGCAAAGATACTCGTATTCAAAAGTATAACAAAAGCGAGCAGTGCTGATTTAATAATAAATCAATACAGCAAATTAATCCAATCGTTTACAAGGTTACACCGAAATGATTAATAATATTTCAAGAAATTATGCTGCTATCTTGTGATCTTCATAATAACACATAAACGCAGAGCTAAGCTCGGATGCCTATTCTTATAAAAACAAGTCGAGTCACTGGTCTTCAATGAAATTTTTAATATTTTTAATTGATGATTTTTTTTTAATTTTTAATAATTTATCACATAACATAACTTAGCGTAAGTTTATAATTATAATTTCTCAATTACTTAATAATTTATAAAGATTACTTAAAAAACTTTTGATTAAAATTTTGTTAAAATTTCATTATTCGCTTTTAATTTTTCGCGCAGTCACGTAGGGCTGAAAGCCCTTTTTATTTGCTTTATATAGTACTGTGTATTCATAGCCATCAGCGGAGACAAAGCTATATCCCCCACGATATTCAACGGGCTTCTGTTCCTTACTGTCTTTTTCAATTACTGGTTCTGTGTCGTATTTTATGTCCTCTGTGCGGTATTGTCCATTTTCTGTTTTATATCTGCAAAAAAAAAAAAATAAATGGAATAAAGAAGTTAGTAA